ACCACTACTCCTCAGCCTTTCCACACATATGTGCTTCTATTCACCCAGTATTCACACATGAAAAATGGCAGGAAAGAACGAGATTCTGGCACACTGCCCCAAATTTCATCACTTTACTCCCACAATTTTCTGGGTTAACAGGGTTGCAAACAGATTTTTCTTCTTCTTCCTGGAAGTAATTAACACACCAATAAGTGCTAAACCTCCACTATATGCTGCTAGATTTCTGGAAGTGGCTCTTGGGGTCATGTTAAAGTTCAACTATAATGTGGAAATTAACAGTTAGAGAAATGAAATAAACTGACGTGCAAATGCAGCCCTTTACTTATTTCTGTTCAGAAATCTAGTCTTTTCTAGCCAGTCATCTTCTTTCTCTTCCTCCCTTCCTCTCGAGGTCTAACATATATTGCTTCTTTCCTCAATTAATCAGCCAGATCACCCTATTCAGTCATCTGGGAGGATTTTAAATCTCAATTTCCTAAATGAAAAAAATATATAAGGGGAGGGGGGAAGCTTAGCAGTTCATCCTTCTTAGCCAGAAAGCAACATTCAAGATGAGCTTCAGATGGCTTAGAATAATTACGGCCAGGCTTCAGTTTCACAAATGCTCAAATTACTCGGTTTATGTATCATTTAGATTAAAATATTGTCCAGAAGGTACTGAAGACACACCCTGATCCCCCTTCACATTTTAAGCCTGTATATGTGACCATTATGTGTCTAATATCTATTATTACATGTTGAGTGTGCTTATTAGAAGGGTTCAGTTCTACTATATTTGTCTTGAGCATACACTAGTAAACAAATGGGACTTGCAATAAAATGTTGACAGCGCAAAGTGCTCTGGATCAGGATTCCAGCCAGCCAGACTTTTTGCGGCGTACTACATTTCTTCCATGTCCCCAATTCCTCCCCCCTCAACAGAAACTAAGTGCTCTGCGGCCAACTGACTAGTGGCAATACAGAAGTGGGCAGGCCAGCAGGCTAGCTTAGGGGATGCAGGCAATGCCACATGACACACACAGTTCTGCCTTCCAACACCACACTGCTACTGCGCTGCTCACCCAGCATTCGCCGCCTGAGGCAGCTGTCTTACTCGGCCTAATAGTAGGACCGGCCTGTTCCTATTAAGGGAATTTATCTGACCATCATGGTTGAGAAATTAACTTTGAGCACATCTGCACCATGCATCTGAAGCACATGGCTCCCCTATACCAAGAATCCTGGGAGTTTGTTAAGGGTGCTGGGAACTTTAGCTCTTTGAGGGTAAAAACTACAGTTTCCAGTATTATTTTGAGGGGAAGGAGCCATGGCTGTTAAAGTGGTACAAATACGCTTTAGATGTGTGGTGTGCATGTGATCTTTGGCTCTTCCAAGATTACAAAGCGGGTGGATTCCTTCAGCTTATTTGCATCCAGCTTCCCAGCAACCTCCACTTTGCACCTGCTTGGCAACAGCGCGTGTTCTAAGGCAGGAATCAGCACCACAGCATTTAGTTCAGCCTTCGCACCCTGTTACAGTTATTATGCAGATAAGCAGAATGTTTATGAAAGAGCTGAGGAAAATGCATGCATAGAATTAAAACTTCCTGCCTGAGTCTGAAATGCTTTTTTGAAGTTAATGAGAACGGCTTTGGACGTTAGAGTGATTATAATTCTTTATTTTTGCTTTGTAAATAAAGTCAGTTGTGCGGGGGGTTTTTAGGAGGAGGTTGAGAAAAAGTGAAACTTGAAATATTGTTTTACCTGTCTAAGGCAACTTAGTAAATATTTAATTACATTACTTTAAATAGTGGTAGGTTAAAACAAAGGGGTGGAGCAACCCATAAAAATGCAGTTTGTTTAGGACTTTGATCTTTTTTTATCACACATCTGCCTCTTTCTTTTTTATGTATTATTTAGTTAGCTATTCAATTTATATCCTCCACGAGAAGCCCAGGGCAGAAAGCAACAAGTGATAAAGCAATAAAATAAATATTCAAAACAATTCCCAGTCTGGGAAAGATCTCATCTTAAAAGCAGGCATGTTCAAAGTCCGGCCCACTGGTCGATTTAATCCGGCCCCTGTGGCAGTTTATTTCCTGGTGTAAAATTCTGAAAAAAGCTGAACAACTTCAATCCCAAAAAAAGCTGAACAGTGTGGTGTAGTGGTTAAGAGCGGTGGACTCATAATCTGGTGAACCACGTTAGCGTCTCCGCTCCTCCACATGCAGCAGCTGGGTGACCTTGGGCCAGTCACACTTCTTGAAGTCTCTCAGCCTCACTCACCTCACAGAGTGTTTGTTGTGGGGGAGGAAAGGAAAGGAGATTGTTAGCCACTTTGAGACTCCTTAGGGTAGTGATAAAGCGGGATATCAAATACAAACTTTGGGGGGAAATCCCCCCCAAAGCACAACAACTTCAATCCTAAACAACTTCAGGGTTAAATACTTAAAAAATCTCAACAACTTTGGTCGGCCCTCACACCTGTTCACTTCATCAAATCTGGCCCTCTTTGAATAAAGTTTTGACACCCCTGGCTTAAAAGGCTTGTTGAGATAGGAAGGTGTTCCATAGGTGCTGAAAAGACAATAGCAATAGTATCTGTCTAATATTCAAGGGGAGCTGATTCCAAGGGGCAGGTCACTAAAGGCCAGACTCCAACATTGTACAGAGCAGATCTCCTGATAAGATGTTATCTGCAGAAGGCCCTCACCTGCAGAGCACAATGATGAAATGGGCATTTAAGGAGTGAGATGATCTTTCAGGTATCTGGTCCAAAGCTGTACAGGAATTCATATACCAAAACCAGCTTGAACTTAGCCCTGCAGCTAATGGCCAGCCAGTGCAATTCTTTCAACAGCAGGGTAAGATACTAGCAAAATCTTACCCCAGAAAAAAAATGTAATAAATTTTATTTGAAACAATAATGAAAGGTGAGCTGGCATACTATGCAGGTGAGGGAAAAGTAGTATAGTAAAACCCACAAAAAGTCTGAGAAATCTCAAACTTGACAAAGAATTGAGTGTGTGAGAGAGAGAGAGCTTAATACATGCAAAGCACCATATGTCAAATAATCCTACCTCCATATGTGCTTTGATAGGTTCTGATGTGGCTTTACTGACACAGAAAGCAGTCTTGCAGTGGAAGAGAACAATCACAGTAAATAATATGCTCTCAATATGCCGTGACAGTAAAAAATGGGAAAGGCTTGTTAAGAATTCTTAGAAAAGGGATTAAAAAGTATCATGATAATTGCACAATTGTCTGAATTTGGAACAGTCTGTACATTTATGATTGCCCATTTCCAAATGGATACCGTATTTTTCTCTCTATTACACGCAGATTTTTTCTCCTAAAAAGGAAGGGGAAATGTCTGTGCGTGTTATGGAGCGAATGTGGGGGGGGGGTCCCTGGAGCCGATTAGGGGAGCGCAGGAACAAAAATCAGCAAAAATCAAAGCGTGTTGTGTCGGAGAAAGGAAACCTGAAAAGAGGAAGTGGTTGCTTTCCTGCATTCTGCCTCAGGGTCTTACTGCCCACCCTCCTCTGTTTCGTTGCTGTGTTTGCTCAAACGGAACAAAGAGCAGGCAAATCCCCTCCCCTCCAGGCAAGCAGAGGGGAAAGCAGAGGTCTTTCCTTTTAATTCCTCTCCGTGCTCCTCGCAGGCAGCCAGAAAACATGCAGGAGGAGAGAGAAAGCTGGCTTCGGTTTGTGGAAACTTTTGCCTTTTTTTCCTACCTCCCGTTAAATCCCTCTCCTGCTTTCTTAGCCAGCTGCTTCTCTGCACACCGCTCTCTTGTCCCTTCTGTGTTTTTCCTTCACTCCCCACTTAAAATGTAGTTACAAAGCATGGATCCACATGGATCCTCAGGATCTTTGCATTGGGCCACCCCAAATTCACCATCAGATCACATAGCAGCCTGCCCCCCAAAAATCACACACCCACTGTTGCCTGGGGCTGCAATGGTGCAAAAACGTGGTTAAAAAGCATGGATCCACATCGATCCTCAGGATCTTTGCATTGGGCCACCCCAAATTCACCATCAGATCACATAGCAGCCTGCCCCCCAAAAATCACACACCCACTGTTGCCTGGGGCTGCAATGGTGCAAAAATGTGGTTAAAAAGCATGGATCCACATGGATCCTCAGGATCTTTGCATTGAGCTACCCCAAATTCACCATCAGATCACATGTCTGTGGCCACAGCATGAAGCACAAAAATGATACATCCACTGTTTCATTCAGAATTTTTTCCTTGTTTTCCTCCTCTAAAAACGATGTGCGTGTTATGGTCAGGTGCGTGTTATAGAGCGAAAAAATACGGTATATTGGAAATAAAGAAGGTAACATAAATGATCCAAGGGAATCTATCAGTTCTTAACTAACAATGCCATTCTATTCTTGTCTACCCAAAAGTAAGTCCCCTTATGCAGAGCTGTGCAGCCTAAGAATTAGGATGTGTGCTCCAGCACATCCAACAAGATCTGGAGGGCCGCAGACTCCCCACTCCTGCGTCAAACAGTTGAGAATGGTTGCTTTGCAAATAAGGTTAGTGAAAGGAGAATGTAATGTAAGATGGTATGGAAAGTGTGACTGCAGAAATATGCTTTCTTCTCTCTCCCACACATGCACAAATACAAGAACTCAAGGTCATCAATTGAGAACTGAGAGACTGTTTCGGAAAAGAACATATGGAACTCAATGAGCGAGGATGTCATGATGGCCACAAATAAACATGGCAATAGCTTTTTTAAAGGATTAGTTGTGTTAATGAAGGATAGGTCAACTGGGAGAAGAACACACAAGTACTGCTACCAATGTAGTTTTTTATTTCTTTTTGTCTCTAAGGTCAGAGTTATGCTATAGCTTTATGAGAAAACTGGCAAAAGATATAATCCATTTTCATCACTGCCTTCTAGTCATAATTGTTAGAAATGCAATCTCCATTTTCATTTATAAGAGGGTTGATCCCATAGGGGAAGACAAGTCGTGTTGATCCCATAGGGGAAGACAAGTCTCCTGGCAAACTTCCTGGGGAAGGCTTTGCCAACCTGCTGCCCTCCAGATGTTTTGGACTGGAACTCCCATCAGCCCAAGCAAGCACAGTTTAGGAAAGCCTGTTCTAGGAGATGTGGCTGGCCTCTAGGGACAAATTGCTGAGGTAGGTAATTGGAAAGGTAACAGCCTTCCATGTATCCATATAAGATGTGCCCCAAAGGAAGGATGAATGCACATAATTCCGAGGACAAGGGCAGCCAACGTGGTGGTCTCTAGATGCTGAGGACCACAACTCTCATCAGCGCCAGCCAGCATGGCCAATGGAGTTGCAGTCCATGTGGGCAATTACTGTCTGGGAAAGCCCCATAGCAAGTGCAGAAAACCACTTGTTGAGACCTACGGTAATAGCTTACGGATGTCCCATTCTTGAACTTTAAATTCATATGGGATGTTATGTGAGAATGTGTAACTGGCTTGAATGAGTCCAAAGGGTTGAAATGGTCCAAGTGGCACTTGAATGCACATCCATCTGGCTGTAACCTTAGGCTGATAAAAGGTAGACTGTTGGAGTGTTGTTCCATCACAAGTCACCTTGACAATACTAATGGAATAGGCTGTCTAAAGTCCTGCTGAAAACCTAGGGTCGCACTTTTCTCTAGCCCATAAGCTCCATGCTCTATTCATTCTTCTGTAATGGGTGTTATTAAAAGAAGCTTCAAATGCATCTCTCTTAGCTAGTGTCCTCTCCTGTCTTGTGTGCTGCTGCTGATTGGAATTTCAATTAAAATGTATTTCTCAATTATATCTATTATAATAAACTATACGAGCACGTGTTTTTGCATCCTCCATTTATGCCTAATTAATCATTCTAGGACTGCCAGTACAGGGAGCAGCAAAGTCAACCTCGTCTGCGAGAAGTACTAAAAGCAAGACATATTTATTATGCTTAACTGCTTAAATTATAAAAAGGCCACGCTCACAGCTCAATGGGAATTTGTGTGTGTTATGTTTGCAAGTAAGTGCTTTCCCTGATTGACTAAAGAAGCATCTTAAAGTCTTTAAAGGATAACAGGGCTCTGTTGCTGAGTAACTCACTTAAAAAAAAAAGTTAATTAAACTTTTGGTCTGATACACTGTTTCCTACTTGGAACAGACAAGGTATTGCTTCACTTGGAAAACTTAAAAGTGGAAACTGCTTCCCCAAAGCTGATAATCTTTCTTATCAGATTAATACAACATTTATATTTAGAGTGAAACAGCAACAACCCAATATTACAATGAATGGCTGACAACTCTACCCAAGCCCCCAAACTGAAAAAACAGGATTTAATCTGGAATGCTAACACAAAAATTATGGCAACCAACCAGTTACTAAACGAAAATGAACACTCAATCCCAACCAACCAACCAATGACCCGACCCTCATCTCTCTAAATTAAAACAGTCAAGATTTCATATATTACACTTACACAAAATGGTTTCAAAATAACTAGCTATCAACTGACCCAGTATTCTTTTGTCCCCTGACTACATCTTCTAAGGTCACAGGCTCACCTTTAATCAATGGACAATTTGCATACATTTAGATTACTTTGCATATGTTACTACATTATAGCTGGTTTTAACTCTGAGAAGTGGCAGCCTTGGTACACACAGGGCCCATTGTGAAATAATATAATCCCCATTTTCAAATGTAGATTTATATCCCCAAAAGCATGAGCATTTTCATTGCAATTTATAGTAGCTTCCATGCAGTAGTTATAACAAGCAGAATGTGTGGGGAGAAAGAGGAGAAATGAGCTCATAAAAGCCTCTGAAAAAATATACACTCCTGATCACATGCAACATTGGGCCTAATTCTAAGAGAAGAGACATAAAGAATCTCACTTGATGGGTCCAGAAAAGACTATGCTGCAGATATGACGGCATGCAATTGTTTATACACTCCTTTGCAGAAAGTTTTTCTACAGAGAAAAAGGTCCCCCTATATTTTTCCTTCCTCTGCAATCATTAGACATTGACAGTACTCAAGATTGCTGAGTAGTGGGGGCTGGGGCTTTTGGGGACTGATAGGTCAGAAGGCAGAAAGACTGACTGAAGATGAAGCCAGAGCCAATGACAGCTGCAACCAACTAATTCTACCTTTGTCCCTGTCTTCCTGTCTGCTGATTTCTACAAGGGCAACACTGAGACTAAGGAGGAGAAGGCTGCGAGCCAGTGCCACCTCCTGAAATGATTGTAAGTAAGAAGGTAGACAGGTGGGTGGGGATGCCTGGGCCAGCCCAAGACATTTTGCCACCTGAGGCAAGCCCCATCCCTGCCAGGGAAGAAAGGATGGCTGAAGGTCTACATCAGGAACAAGGGGGTGGGGAGGGAAATAAAGATATCCATTGGGAACAAGGGTGGGAGGACACCAGCAGCACCTCCTATTTGACAAGAGGGGGTGTTGCTGAGGAGATTTGACCAAGGAACATGCTATATAGTAGTTGTACAAGGCAAGGCTATTCAGAATCATGTGGAACTATATTGTTCTTGCCAACACAGCAGAAGACATGAATGTAATGTTGATGATTCTCAATCAAGATGTAGCAGCTGCTGCACATAGGAAATGTAGAGTTCATTCTTATATCTTCCTCATGCATTCAAAATAATGCACGGCAGCTTAAACTGGAGACAGAGGCCATACACAAATGTTCATTGCCCCTGCCCTCAGAATCCCTGCTCACGCCTCAAACACCCCCTTTCTCCCCATCGTTCCTGTATTGAGTGGAAAGGTTTGAAATGGGCTTGTAAATGCTTTGGTATTCTTCATCAGTTTCTACTTTTGAGCAAGAAGCTGCTGCTCTTTAGACCAAGTTAGAAGACAGAGGGTATCTGTCAGCAGTCATCAAATCAGCAAGGAAGATCCATCTTCTTTAACAAATTTTATGTACCACTTATTAAAACAAAATACCTCCAAGTGGTCTACCATCGATAAGATAAGAGCTTTTTGTTCCTTGTGATTGTCTGCAGAACAATAGGAAAGTCTCAGTTTTGTAGTGTCCCTTCTCATTTTCTTATTAAAAGTTGATAAAGAGAAATGTCTCAAATATGCCAAAATGAGGAAATGTTTTATTGTAGATAGGTGCCTAACATGTTTCAGCATGATTGCCTTATCAAGAGCTTATTCTCTTATTTCTTTGCAACTTTAACCAAGAAAGCTCTGTTACGAAAGAATTTGCATGGCAAAAGCGGAACTTCCTGGTTTATGTGCTGACTAAAAGTTAACACAGCGTTATTAATAAATATTGGTTTATTTCTACTAATACTTATACAAGAGCATGGGTGCAACTATGCCCACGGGACATTATTCATGTGGTCATTGTGTGCTTTGTAAACGTACTCCTAAATACAAGTCCTTCACTAATCCTGTGGATAAAAGGGTTTATTCTGTTTGCAGTTTCTCAACCTCCTGCAGCACCTCCAATCTTATGTACACTACAGAATGTGCATGTCACAAACTCTACATTGAAAAAAATGAACCCCCCCCTTTTAATCAGTGTCTAGTATGCGCAGATAAAGTTTTCAATGGGCCTAATTAGTTCTCTTTGTATACAGAACATGTGTAAAAAAAAGTGGGAATCAGTCTGTCTCTTTGTTATCCTTGCATATGTTTACTCATGAGAAAAACCGTTCAATGTGGTAGTGCATATTTTTCCCCTTTCCTTCTTTCTTTAAGGTGCATTGCTCAATTCACCATCTGGAACTTGTTAGCAGTTCTATAAGGAAGACTTTCTTTCTACATTCAGTCCTCCTCATGGGGCTGCATAGACTGCTAGTATTCCTGCAAGCTGATTTAGTCATCTGAGAGTGTTTGAAAGCAGAAGGTGTTTATTGGATTCATTTTCAGAATGGCAACTTAGATTTGTTGGTCTGATTTATTTATTTTTAAGGATGTTGGCACAAACACTTGTGTCTATGTAAATCAAACATACAAGATAATTTACCTGTCAAGGAGAGGCCCACTCCTCCCACCCCAGCATTGCATCTTGACATGTCCCTTTGAATGAACGAACTGGGCTGTTGCTTTAAATGGGGTCAAGTTACTAGGGCACTTTCCTGGCAGGTGGGTCAATGTTGCTTCCCGGGAGAGGCGAGGCAGTGGGGCAGTGGGGGTGCAAAAAACTAGCAGGAATGCCAGATTGGCTCTGCCCATGGCTACAGGAAGCATCTGGAGTCTCCTGGGAACCTTACCCATATTTTTCTGAGGAAGGCAGGAAGATAAAAAATGTGGCAAACCAACTGAACAGTGCCAGGACATATGAGGGAGAACAGCAGTAGCCTATTATGGCTGTATTCTATACACATTTACCTAGGAGTAAGCCTCATTGAGTTCAGTCAGACTTCAAGTGATGCAGGAGATCTGGGTTTCCAAAAATCTGTTTCTTTCATTAAAAACAGTCATAATGTAGTCATATTTGGACCATTGGGGAAGAGTGAATTAATTGCTTTCTCCATGCCTTATCTCCCAACTTAATTTCCCCCTTGAAGCTATTAGCAGTGGAGGAGGAAGGGGAAATACATGCAGTTTATGTAAGGGAAACTGCATAGGGCAAAGGGTTAAATCACCCCTCACACAGCTTCATTACCCTGATCCAAAAAACCATGGGTTTTTAATTAAAGGAAAGGACATAGGTAACTCCATCCTATGTAGTATGAATATCTGAGTGGGTGTTTTTACATATTATACGTTGACATTGTCGATCAAAGTTTAGTCCTTTATTTATTGTTAGCTTTACTAATCAAGTCTCCAATTCTTCCCCATGGCTTCTGGTAGCAATGGCTCCGATTTCTGGAAAGCCACGATAAGCGAATGTGGGCTTTGGCACGGAATTAAATGCTAAGCAAACATTGGAAGCAATCCACTAAGCACAGAAGCTGCCCATCTGTATTCATTTCCATGGGGGTCTATGCAGGGCAATGATGTCTCAGCACCAGCGGTGCATCAATGGCCTGGACTCGTTAAGAGCGATGTTGCTTAATGGCAGCGGTGACAGAAACTGCCTTCCAGATGACTTGAGTCTTTGTAGGTCAGTTCTCTTCAAATTAGGTCTCTTCCTCAAGGCCCATTATCTTAAATTGCAGGTGATATAACCAGTAATGCCAGCTACTAACCCACATTTCAGTAATCCCATTATGCTTATAGCAGAGGGCTAAGTGTCCGGGTAATTGCAATCCAAATGGTATGAAATGAATGAAGTAAATATTGTTCACTTCTCCCATTCTGAAGGGTTCTCATGTTCCATATTCTTGTTCTTACGATTCCTTCCCCTCCATGAAAGCAATTCCTTTGCCGTTGTATCAGAATGGTATGAACTATGGGTGGCCTTGTCTAACTTTGGAAATACTCCTGTGCAGTGGCAGACCTACAGTTTTGGAGCCCTGGAGCTTGAACTGTTATGATGACCCCTTTGCAACCAACAACAAAGTCTGGGCAACCACTGTTATCTTATTCAATGGGGTGGTTCCACGACAGATCACCACAACTTAAAAAAAAGTTGATTACTATATCCTGCTATATTAACTACTTCCTCTCCTTCCTTGGAGGTTTTTAAGCAGAGGTTCGATGCCCGTCTCATGGATGCTTTAGCTGAGATTCCTGCATTGCAGGGGGTTGGAACAGATAATGACCCTTGGGTACCTTCCAACTCTATGTTTCTATGATCTCAGATTTTGATTTAAATTGCTGTACAATGGTACCTCGGGTTACATACGCTTCAGGTTACAGAGTCCGCTAACCCAGAAATATTACCTCGGGTTAAGAACTTTGCTTCAGGATGAGAACAGAAATCATGCTCCAGCGGCGTGGCGGCAGCAGGAGGCCCCATTAGCTAAAGTGGTGCTTCAGGTTAAGAACAGTTTCAGGTTAAGAACGGACCTCCGGAACGAATTAAGTACTTAACCCGAGGTACCACTGTACTGGATTATCTCACATGTCAAAGTCACTGGTGTGAGCAAATGTTTCTTATGCCTTACAATTTTCAAGTTGTGCAACTCAAATTAGATCTATTAAACACATTTTTTTTAAGCACTGTGGAGTAAAGTAACTTCTGGAGCCCCTCTGAGATTAGGGGCCCTGAAGCTTAAGCTTCATTAGTTTCACAGTAGATCTGCCCCTGCTCCTGTGCATCTGTTGGTCTGTTGCAATCAGGGCCATAGCTACTGGGAACTAGTCACGTTTTTGGTCCTGGGTGAAGCCCCATTGAAGCTCCCAGCCTGTGTGTGTGTGTGTGTGTGTGTGTGCGCCGCGCTAATGCGCATGGGGGTTCCAAACTGGGTCTTTGACCCAGGGGAAATAAAGCCTAGTTTCACCCCTGGTTGCAACCACCTTTACTTAGGCCTGGAGGACAGCTGTGACCCAATGAACTAGTCACAGGGCTATTTGGCACCTTTCATAGGCATGAAACCCACAACCTTTGTGGGCAGGTATAGGCTCTGGAGCAGTGCTATTTTTCTAGCAAAAGAGGTGCCAGAACTCACCATGAACACCTCTCTTGTTCTCTTAGAATGGCAATGGCGCCCACCTGAGAGGTGCCAGAACTAAGTTCCGGTGAGTACCTGCTGGGGAAAAGCCCTGACTACTACACGGGGATGGAGGGGAATTTGATTCCATTCACATTTAAAGATGAATGTTCCAAAACAATACACAAACACATCTTTCAAAATCCAAAATATGTGCTGCCCTTCTCCAGCTATGTAATGTGTACAAAAATGCATATACTAGGGTCAAGTGTGCATTAAAATGCTTACATTTGTGAGAGTAGCATGCAAATGCTTGACCACAGGATTGGGCAAGCTTGACCACGGTAGTTTACTCCAACGCTGGATTACTGCATTGGGCTTCCCTTTGAAAACTGATGCAGAAATGAAGGCAACTGAACTTACGATTGGAAAAATGAGAAACTGAGAAACAGACTCGCCCATCCCTGATTACTAGTTAGTCTAAACTAGCCCATAGTGGTGGGAGTTTCTTATGGCTTTTGTGATTTCTATTAACCATAAGACATTTGCATGGAATTGTGAGAACCAGTGTAGAGGCTCTGAAACAGAAGCAAATGCACAACTATAAGAGTCATGGAGAGAAAGAGTGAGAGAGAAAATGAAACATTTCTTCTTCAATTTACTTCAGCTATGCCTTTTTCACAAGAGTGATGTATAAGGAATTTTTGTATGTTCGTTTCAGAATTTCATCCATACCCATTACTAAAACTCTTACTTGGTTTGCCTTTCATTTGTCAAAATCTGGTTTGCTTCATGTTTTATTCATTAGTAATTACTTTGTTAAAGTACTCACATTCATCTTGAGTTCTTTCTTTCTTTCTCTTTCTCTCTTTCCTTCTCTCTTTCTTTTAATTTTTGCAAAAGCAATGGTGGCAAGTAGTTCAATGAGCTGTCTTCTGTCTCAACAGCCAACACCCCCATTCCCAAGAACACCTCAGAACAACATCCAGAGCATCCTCGGAAGAACAAAATGGCAGCCACCGGGAGTGTCCAGTGTCAGAAGTTAAGTAAAAAAAAAAAAAGGAAGTTGAAGACAGTCCTGACACCACAGCAGAACCACAAATGGAAGAAATTGGTTCCCAAACAGACTCCTCTGCATTCATTTCCCAACATATGGAAATTGGGCTGAAAGGGTCCTGTTCTGCTCAGTTTCCCACTCGTTCTGAAACAAATGCACACCCTTCATTTGCAGTATGCTATTCTATTTCTTGTAACCACTGTAAGGCTCTCTTCACCGTGGAGCATGGGAGCCCTTTCAGCTCTGCACCACAGTGGTATGTGGGCAGAAAGTGCTGATTGCGCTGCTCTTTCCATGCCATGGGCCACCCCTGCAAGGTTCATGGTGTTCACGTAAAAACCTCATTCTCATTCCTAATATATGTAGTTAAAACAGCCTTCCTCTCCAAAGGCTTATAAAAAATTAAAAAGGATCGATAAAGTATACTTTGGAAGAAAAATGGTTTGTCTAGGCAATGTAATTCTCATTATCCAAATCTTCTGAAATGAAACCTCCTGGGGCAAAAGGCTGAGCAATTTGGGGCATATGCAGCTTATTTTCAGGTATATAAGCCTTTTGGCAGTCACATTTAAGTGGTGTTTGTTTTGGTTCGGTTTGTTCTGCTTCCACATTCATTCGCAGGGTTTACGAGAAAAACTTCGTGTTTCTGTGGTGAAGCACAGAAATAGATTCATTTGCTTTGTGCTCTCCTTTCTCACAGGCATTTGGCAGAGCGGTTCACATGGCTAAGGAGGGGCATGTTTCTGAATGAGAGGTCTAGCCCGTGGCAGCAACAGAGCACTGCTGGTAGCATATTTCTCAATATATATATATATAGCATAATATCCCCTTTGGGTAGTAATAAATTGCAAACGTTTATGAACTTTAGTTACTGGAAATGAGAGGAAGTTACCCATAGGTTATGCAGAATCTCATATACTGTTGTTGTTTTTTTACTTACCACCCACACACAAAAACCACATACAATATTGTACACAAGTCCACAGTCCTCTTCAAGCACTCACAATTACATGTGAGGGCTTGGACCAGATAGGGGCAGTGTGTGTGTGTGTGTGTGTGTGTGTGTGTGTGTGTGTTCTGGCTAGCCAGGAGTGGCTGGTGTGGTGGGGCAGTGCTGTGCAGGCCATTCCACTGTGTTGGCTGCTTCTGCCAATATCCCTGTGCACACTGCCCCTGCCCCTCCTCTCCTGATCTCCACACATTTAGGTCTGCATTGAGATTCTAACTGCATGGTTAGTGTTAAGTTGTGGCTGAACATATCAGACGACACAGCGATTCTTCAAACAGCTCTTGTTTATGCACAGGCCAGAACTGAACTGAACTGAAGGGTTCAGCCAGCCTGCTTATATAGAGCTCCACTAGAATGCAACAGTAACCATTTTCTGTAACTATCCAATCACTGAACGTCACTTTCAATCCCTTATTTGCATATGTGGACCTGAGTGAAAACTATCTACAGTATCCCCCTGCTGGCCCAGGGTGAGAACTTCAGTACATAACAGTTAGGGTATTCAATAGGGACAAATGAAGGTACTACACTTAGGCAGGAAGAACCAGCTGCACAGATATAAAATGGGGGGGGCACCTAGCTTGCCAGTAGTACATGTGAAAAGGATCTAATGGGCCTTAGTGGACCTCAAGCTTGAGTACCTAGAATGTTGGGGGTTGAACCTGGGACCTTCTGCAAAGCTGGTGCTCTCTCACTGAGATATGTTCCTTTTCTCTTGTACATAGGATACTAACCAAGCTGAACTGAACACATCTCAGAAAACCCCTTTTGCAAGAAGGTCTGAACTAGAGCCTGCATGTGGGGACATTGGAGCAGGGCTTTTATATGTGCTCTGATCCACTTCAAGCCCATATACAGTCACTCAAACAGGGTTCTGGTTCACACAGAATGGAGGCTGTGCCAATGGACATTCATTTCACTGAGAAGTGCCACAGTATGTAATCTATTTTGCATGCAAAAAAACCCCAAAACCCCATACACACCACCCATGGGCACCTCATAATGAGAGAAGAGAAGCTGAAACCCAGCAAAATCTTAAAGGGATTCCAAAGAGTCCTGGGAATGAGGCAGAAAAAGGGACGCCTTTTCTGCAGGGAAAGACAACTTCCAAGAAATTAGAGGTCAGGTTTTGGCAAAGCGCTAGTGTAATTAAACAAGCAGTGCAGTAAATCACAGGCTACATAATGTCTTTTAAATTGGTTTCTAATAACACATGGCCCTTGTGAAAAGACACTTAGTGCTGGTTATTATTGCTATTGCTAATATTATTAATATTCATAGGATGGCATTCAATTAAGTTTTACTCAGAGTATACTCACTGAAGTTAATGAAGGTGACTAAGATAGGCCCATTAATGTCAATATGTCTACTCTGGGTAAAACTTAGTTGAATGCCACCCATAACACCACCACTGTTGTTGTAAACCATCTATGCGTGACTCTCCTTTAACTCGAGCAGTAGCCACTGTTGACAGGAATGGGAGGGTTCCATCTTATCTTTTGCTTCAGACAGCCAAATGTTTTGGAACAACCCTGCCCTCCCAAAAAATCTCACCCTCCCCTCCCCTAGCATGCAGACTGTGTTGCTTGCAAACATCTTGTCAAAATACTTCTCAGTCATGGCCAGAGTATTTAAGAGATGCTCTCCCTCCATCCTTGCAACAACTACAAAATCCTAAAGAGCAATTTGTTGTTGCCTTTTGTTTCTGTACAGCCTTTCTCCATGATTTTGTTACATACCTTTTTTTAGGAAGATTTCCAACAACAATGACAATTGTACAAATAAATACAATTATCACTAAATAGTGCAGAACATGCCTGCAATGATGTGTCTGGAGATTTTGCTTCCGAGTTCCCATTAGCATGACATCCCATTAACATTATATGAGTCTGATGTATTGCAGTCGGCCTCGCCATAGGATTATTACAGGAAGCTGGATGTTACTGGCTCAGGCAGAGAGAGCTTCAGGCAGGCTTCCATAGCCACATGGAAAACCTGGGAGTGGTGCAGATGGCAGCAGCATTTGGAAACCTCATAGCCCAAGGACACATACCTCAAATTCAATGGGATCTTTAAGTATGTCCATCATTTCATGTGCCCAAATAACATTTGCCCACCAGGGAGTCTGCTATATAGTCTTGCCTCAGATGTTTTTAGCAACTTAAGATCTGTGGAGGCTTTTAGCTTAATGGAGGTTTACACAACCTTTTGCCCTACGGTTTAAATGTCTCCTGCCCTGGTGGGCCTTGTGGTAAGTGAGGGTTTGGGTGTGTGCTGGGAAGGATAAGGATGAAGGAGAGCCTTCATGTATGTAGCAGTAAATGTAAAAATAATGCCGTATCCAAAAAAAATTATAAACGCAGCCTGAATGTTCCAAAGCTTAGCTAGGTTTTGCTTGGTTAGGAGTCAAAACCAACTGCTCTCTGCTGTATAGGACCATTTAAGCTGCCCAGATCTTATAGGCAGATAGCAGACCTCCTCCGTATGAACTTGAAGAATCTGGTGTGCTGTGCTGAATCTCAGTGATTCTCAAAGCTGGGATAGAAATCCACTGGAGAGATCCATTGGGGAGTTGAGGGTATGTGAATACTACTGGCTGTCGGTGGGGGACAGGGGACAGGTTAGTGGGTGGAAATAAGTTGGTGCAAGAAAGTAAAGCAGGTCTAACAATGTGCTGCACTGCAAGTCCCATCAGCTTCAGTCAACATAGCCAATGGTCAAGGGTGATGGGTGATAGAGACGGTCCAAAGCATAGGGAGGGCAGCATGTTAGTTGTCTTTCTGGGTTGAAGGGCAGAACTGCCAATTGGGTTCTACACAAAGGGAAAACACGACTGGCAAAAACTCAGATAACCAATGCTGGGCTTATAAGCATTGCTAGCGGGCAATCCAGACTTGAAAGAAGACACACAGAGGAGGGTATCTTTGGGCCTTGCATTTGGATTTGTAATTTTAATACAAATCCACCCAGATACAGATCTTAATTGAAGGCAGAGGTTAGGATAATTTGCGGATATTTCATGATTACTATCGTGACAGGGTTGCCTCCCAAGCAGGCAAGTATCTTGTGGAAATCAGCCTGCAAGAACACAGCATGTGCTGGGAAGGGGGGGAGGAAGGAAGACGTTGGCAGGGAGGGAGCCTCGCTTCCTAAGAAGAGCTGTCTCAAGTAGGAAGGGGTCTGCACACGCGAACCTCACCCAAGCCCAGCGGTTCCCCACCGTCCCACCCCTTCAGCACAGGGTGGAGCACATCACAAACGGCAGACTTTGAGAAGCAACTTCAAAGGTTCTCCCTGGAGGATTTTCCCGTAACAGAATTGAGAAACATGAAAATACCAAGCCCTCTTGTTTTTCTTTACTCACTTAATCAGTCACATTGCTTCTTCAAAGGTTAATTGCTATTTTTTTATGCAACTTACATCCCCTCCCCTCAATATATTTCCAGTTTTGTTTGTCTTTTTTGTTTCCTTGCCTACTTGGATTGATTAGGTTGTCATGCTGGAAGGCCAAGAGCACAACTGTGTGCATGTTTACTCAGAAGTAAAGCCTACTGTGCTCAATAGGCCTTACTCATGGGGTACAGTTGGATAGGATTGTTATGGGGATCTACAAAGATTTGCACTCACTGATCACATTATTTGAACTTTTATATATACTTTAAATCTATTTAAAAGTTATGTATTGTTCTTTGCAATTAACCTCCAGGATGTTTCTCTCTCTCTCTCTCTCTCTCTCTCTCTCTCTCTCTCTCACACACACACACACACACACACACAGATAGAGAGAGCCCACATGACCAAAATCTATACACAAGCAATTTGTTCCCAATTGACTCTTATAATAGCTTTTGTGTTGCTCTGCAAAGCCACACACATGAACATTCACTTTAACATGCTTTGCCATGCTAAAATGCTAGCCTTAATTGGGTGTGTTTGAGTGAAAGAAATGGCGTTTGAAGCTCCTGTAAGATACAGCACAAGACAACTGTATACACAACCAAGTCTTCACAAAAGAACAGCTCTTTGAAATGCTCAGTGAACTAGATGGAGATTAAATTTATAGACATTCTATTTCTTCATTAATTCAGAGATCAATCCTGGTTATGGGGAGCCAGCGAAAGTTACACTGACTTAATTTAAGCCAGAGTAAAGTATGCCAGATCCAAACCCTGTTTTAGGGGTACATACCAGCGGGGCTGGTCCCAGTCTGGCATAGTGAAAAGAAACCATGAAAACAGAGATCCATCTCAGCCAGCATTGCCACAAGAATGGTGCTCACACAGGGGAGAATTCCCAAGCACCATTCTAGGTAGCTCATGGGAAGAGGCTCTCAACCGCCGGCCCAGGAATGCAAACTAAGAGGGCACATGTGGTGTCCCTAGCAATGCTCAATTCATCAGCCTATCAGCACAGGCCGCACATTGTGCACTCTAGGCATGCGTACCGCACACTTTACCAAACACATAGCCATGAGCACCAACAGCATGGCACATATCAACCAGGTAAAACAAATACAGGTGGAGCACACCAACACATCCCACATGCCACACGCTGCCACTGCCTGGGCTACACCATAGAATGTGCAACACACATGGGGAGATGCCTGTGGATATTTTATTGAAAGCACCCTATGAAATACACACAACAAAGGCAGCCATTAGACAACAAACACACACCCCTCCCCAAACCCCAAAACAAGCCCACCTGCAGCAGGAATGATCCCAGACATTGGCAGCAGGCACTGCCTCCTTGTCTTTAGGGAGAGACAAATCCATAAATTTTACTTTCTCACGTTTTCAGCCTGAAGTTCTCCCCATTTGCAATTTTAAAAAGGAAATCCACATGAACATTCACATTTCTCCTAATATATGCATATTTGCATGTTTGACATAATATAAACATTTCTGCAAGTATTTCCCCTAAAATAAGACCATTATTTACATTATTTTCACTTATATAGACATTTCCCCCCTAGTATCTACTTCACTGTATAACAGTTTTGGTTGGAGAACCAGATTGCAAAATTCAGAGATGTGTGAATTCTGAAAGATAGCTGCATTTCAGTTTGCATATTGGCTCCATGAGGGCAAATCAGGTTGATTCCCATTAAAATACTAACTGACCCAATTTCTCCCCCACCTCTACCTTCTCCTCACTGTCTCTTCTACTCTCAGCAAAGCGCTTGCTGACAGAAGGGGAAAGATCACCCTGTGGATGGGGGCAAATGTTAATGAGGCCCCCAACACTTCTCCAAAATGGGCATGAGTTGAGGTGAAACACTTCACAAAAAGCGGCCCCTATTTCAGCTAAGCCTTTGATAGGCTATGCCTCCCATTATTGAAGAATACTGTATTTGAAACCTGGAATTCAACGTATGCCCAACCCCATCTGTCGCTCAGGCACTGGCAATGTCTACCGCTGCATATTAAACCGTTGCGCACAAACACAGTCAAAAGGAGAAATGTATGTTGTTCCTTATGTGAGCCAGTGTTTGCAAAAGTTGAATCTGGAGGAGGGGGAAAGGCTTGTAAAGGCATGAAGCGTATTTTCAAAGCTGGCAGGCTTGCCAAATACTTTTTTGCCAAATACACAGCAACCACTTAATGCATGTAGAGAGGGGGAGGGGGAACCTCAGTGCTGAGGGCCAAATCCAAATCACTATCTGGCCCTCGGGATTCTCATCAGGTCACACACATGTCCAAGTCACACCCCTCACTCTGCTTTGCCCCCTCTTTACCTGGCTCAAAATTGTATTTGAAACAATTTGAAATTATGCTTCTCACTTGCATGGATGGAGGATAGAGAGGGTATTTGTGCTAGCCGAATGTATGAAGGTACAAGTCACATTCATTGCTCTGCCCACATTTGCCTCTAGCCCTGCCATCAAATGGAATGTAGCCCTCAGAATGTAGCCACATTCTGAAAAAGTTCACCTGCTCTAGTTGCGGAGTGAGCAGCCCTTGGAAGTTGCGTTTGCCTGGTCTCTGGTGGAAATAAGACTCCAGGAAGGAGCTTTGTTGATTATTCCCTCCAGGTGTTTCTACCTCCCCACACCTAACAGCACTCTGGATCCATGTTTACAGGAGCACTCCTGTCCCTCCTGTGAGGCAATTGCCTCTCCCTGGTAGTGCTTTGCAACGACAAAAGACCCGTCAGGCTACATTACGACAGTGTAACTTGTAGTTTGCCCCTCAAATGTTAAGGCTTCACAGCCATGATTAAGCTTAGAAGAAGCTGGACTTGAAAAAGCTGGCTAAATCTGTTCTTCTTTCCAAAGAATTATGTTCCCATAGAGCCCTAGTTTTAACCAGTCTCTTTTTATTTTCAGTTCTTTATTTTCCACTAGCTTGAGCAACCTTCTCCAACCCGGTGCCCTCCTGATGCTTTGGAACGCAATGCCCATCATCCCTGACCACTGGCCTGTCTGAGGCAGGAGTCTAAAACAGCAGCTAGGAGAGAAAAAAGTCTTGTAATTCAGTGGAAGGGGTGATCCATGTGCTACTGATCTGTCAAATATGTTGTTTCTGCAGAGGTTTTACCTATTCTGCACCCCACACCCCACACACCTGCCACAAATCTCTGTCCCTGTGTACATAAAGACTGCATTCTTATTACACGCTGATGTGGCTTCATTACTTTGGGTTTTATGCCGTTCTCCTTGGCAGCAATAATAACTGATTCCTGTGTGTTCCACTGAAGGAGCCACGTGATGCTGATTCTCTCATGCACTGCCATGGAAAT